CTTTTATTGCTTTCTTGTTCTTTCTTTCCATTTGACCTTATTACTCATACCTCTATTCTTTTCTGCCTTTCATCTTTTATTAACTCTTTCATTGATGACTTTATTCTTTCTCGTCTTTATATCTGTTATTATATTGGATTCTTTCATTTCGTACCTTATTTAATCTATCATTCTTCTTCTATTTAGTTTTACTCTTTTCTACTTTCTATTCAACTCTTAACTTTATGTCTTTGTGTTTCTTTGTCTCTATAAAAACCTTGTATGTCTTGAACTTCCTCCTTCTTTGTACTTCTACTTCTTTCTTTAATCCTTTCTTATTCTCCCCTTCTTTTTTTTATGTGTCTTCTTTGAGTGTATCACTTCTATCTCCTTTTCTTCTTCTCATTTCTTCTCTCTTAATTGATCTTCATCTCTCTTCTTCTTTATATTTCTTTATATTTCTTTATATTTCTTTATATTTCTTTATATTTCTTTATATTTCTTTATATTTCTTTATATTTCTTTATATTTCTTTATATTTCTTTATATTTCTTTATATTTCTTTATATTTCTTTATATTTCTTTATATTTCTTTATATTTCTTTATATTTCTTTATATTTCTTTATATTTCTTTATATTTCTTTATATTTCTTTATATTTCTTTATATTTCTTTATATTTCTTTATATTTCTTTATATTTCTTTATATTTCTTTATATTTCTTTATATTTCTTTATATTTCTTTATTTTATTGTTAAAGTTAGGGTAGACGCATCATGTTTCCATGCACATCCTCGTTAAGTTCATAAAAGGCTTGCCTTCAATTCCCTTAACCTCCCTCTAAAAATTATTTTTCTTTTACCCCCGTAAGGGCAAGCAAGATGTTAAGCTTGCTAGAACAGATACTACACTTGATCAAAGCCATAAAGGCCGAGAAGGTGATTCTATTCTTTCAGTTCTTCCTTTTATATCACTAGGGTTTTCTTTTTTTTCATTTTTTGAGAAATATAAAATAAAATTGATATTAATATAATAACTAATATTATAATTATTTCATTTCAAGATAAAAACAAAATAGAAGATCTATATATAGAAGATAAAACAAAAGCGTTAAAATACAATTATTTTGGTGTTATTTGGTTTTATTATTATATTATAAAATGGATGAAAATAGAAAGAAAATGTATAATTAAACCAAAATGAAAAGTAGAATTAATTTTACTTCTTAGCAAAGACAGCTTGGATGAACAATTCATATCTGATTTGTCCTTCTTGATTTTCAGCAACCGTTTTCAATTCACCTACTTCTGAAGTAGTACATCTTTCACCAATATTTAATAAAGCTTCAGTTAATTCTTTTGAATCAATAACACCTTTTTCTTCTGGATCAAAAACTTTAAAAGCTTCTGTTAATTTTTGTTCAGTTGAAGCTGTTTTCATTTTTCCAGTCATCATATTAATGAATTCCATGCATTCAATTTTCTTATCTCCATCAGCATCAGCTTCTTTGAAGGCAGCATCAAGGTCTTCATCTGTTACACGAATACCATTAGTTTTGAATAATTTTTTAACATCATCTTTATCTAAATATCCTTTTTTTGAGGAATCAAACATATCAAAAGCATCCTTTAATTCACCAACAAGTTCTTGATCAACTTCTTCGTCTCTTCTTCTTGACATCTCTAAATTTTAAAGTTCTTTTTTAAGTTTTTATATTAGTACTGTCTTTTATTCTTGCTTTTGTCTATCTTTAGTTTATTCTTTCTCTATACTTATTTATTAATTTACTACTAATCTTTACTATTCATTTTACTATTTATTATATCATTAGATGTTCTCAACGTTTTTAAGTTCTTGATTTTTTATTTTGAGTTTTTCATTGTTTATTCTTTCCTTAAACTTTTTTGTTTTCTTTTTAAATTCTTTTTTTATTGTGAAGATTTAAAAATGGTTTTTAATAACTTTTCAAGAATAACAGAAAAAATCATACTAATATTTGAGATTTTTTACTACTTTCCTTGTATCAAATTATCAAATTATCAATCTATTTACTTATCTTCTTTTTAGTGAAAGTAAAATGATAAATGGAAAAAGATGCGAATTACATTTATGACAAAAAACATTCTTGTTATTTAAGGCACTAAAGAAGAAGCTTAAATCCACTCTTTTGTAAAGAGAAAATCATTACAAATAATTTAAAAGTATTAATAAGATTTAAGTAATTACATAAATGATATTTCTCTTGTATATTTTCAGTTATTATACATTATAGAATGACAGGACTGTCAAGCTTATCAACTTTAATAAAGTGAGTGGTTATATAATTGGATGAAAATAATTTTCTTTTTCTTTTCAATGTCTAAATTACGTTTTATTAATTTTAACAGTATTTCTTATTATTAGATAAAAAGAATGAATTCTGGTATAGCAATATAATTGGATAATGAACAAAGTAATAGTATTAAAACTAAAAAAAAAAGAAATAGGATGGATTAAATTAATAGACTTAGTTAGTTGTATTATTATTTTTATATTTTGTTATAAAAACAAGAGAGTTATTACTTAAATTAATATTCTTACTCTCCAATTTATATCAATAAAATATAATTACATTCAATGCAATTAGTTATTTCAAATAAATATTCACTTGCATTTAAAATATAAAGATTATTTAGACACTAAACAAAATTAAGTAAAATATAGTGGATTTAAGAATTTTTTATTATCATTTTGAGCTTTAATTAATCACATCTCTTTCATTTAGTTATTATTACTTAACAATAATGAATGAAAATAACTATTAATTGGGATATTTTATTGTAGTGTAATTAAAATATTTTTGATTTGATAATGTAAATAACTGTCTCTATTTATATATGAAATAAGTCACATTTCACCGTAAAGAAAATTTGAAATATCTTAACTCAAGACTCAGAAGTTAACTAACATTTTCTATATTAGTAAGATTTAACATATATTTGGATTGATCTAAGTTAAATCACTTAGTGTCTTCTTTGTTTTAAAAACAATAAGACTTAAAAAATTATAAGAGGTATGTTCACTAAATAATAATTAGCATTTCTAGACTAATAGAAAAAAGAATAATGAACGTTTAATGAAACTAAGTTTAAAACCTTTATGAAGAATAAAATATGTAGTTAATTAGCCAATTGAATCAATTTAGAAATTTAACATAATAAAAACAACAAGTTAATACTTACCACCCTTAATATTTATAACATTAAATTTAAAAGATAAAAAGAATTTTTGAACTTGTTTCAATTATTTATGTATTTGAGATAGATATAAGTGAGTTGTTTGAATTTCAAAACAACTAAAAAATAGGAGCAAAATCAAAAGTAAGTATCATTAAAGTAATTGTATGACTAATAGGTTAAGACATAAAACATATTTAACTTCACAAAAAATAAAGAATTGCTGTATTAAAGAGATGTGTTTATGAAACTAATCAAAAAGGAGATTACTATTAATCTTCAAATCCTTATCTGAGAGAATAAAAACTAAAGAGGTTCATTACTCATTCAAAGTGTCAATAAAAAAAAAATAACTGACATTGTAAAATGGTTAATGAAATACGACAAATGACTTGTTTTATCATTATTTCTTCTGTTTTTGTCTTTTTCAAAAAGAGAAAAAAGTTCTTCAGAAAGGCAAACAATGCAAACGCCTCCATGTCTTGTAGGGGTGACTGGAATACAAAATCCTGTAAATGATGCACAAACCATTAGCACAAACCTTACACCACAAACTATAACATGTTATGGTATTTCCAATTTACATGTGAACATAAATAAAAACCTAAATGATTCACACTCTGAACTAAGACCTATTCTTCCTTCTTTAGACACATTCCAATCAACACCAAGTCCAATAAAAGAAATTCAAATTGAACAATTTCCTACGGTTCCTACAGTTCAAAACAATGAGAATGAACAAAAAATTGTACAAACAAATAAAGATGAAAATAAACCAAAAAACGAGGTGGTAGAAACTATTAAAGAAGAAGAAGTTAGCTATGAACATAATGAGGAAAATATAATAAATTCAGAACAAAAAGAAACTGATACAACTAAAAAATTGATAAAAAAAATAACAAAAAGAAAAAAGAAGGTAACAAAGAAGGATAGTCAAGAGTGTAAAGAACAGAACAACAACCATCTAATAAATGAAGAACAAAACGAATGTAGTACAGAAGACACAACTAAGACAAAGAAAATAACTAAAAAAAGAATTGTAAAAGCAAAAACTACTCAAAAAGAAGGAAAGGAAGAAGAGAAAGAATTAAATGAAATGAAAGATAGTACTGAAACAAAAACAAACAAAGAAAAGAAAAGGACTAAGAAGGTAGTAAAAAAAGAAGATAAAAAAGAGGTTGAAAAGATGGAAGAAGTTTGTGTAAATAAACAAGAAGAAACAAAAACAAATGAAATAAAAAAAGAATTACATAATCCTGAAGATGATAAAATTGTTGAAAAAGTAGTTCAAGAAAATATAGAAAAGAAGAAAGAATTGCTAAAAGAAGAGATTAAACTACTAGAAGTTGATGAAACAGCAAAAAGAATTAAAGAAACAATAGAAAATGAGTCTCAGAAGAAAAAACGAATTACTCCACAAATTGTAGATCCAAAAGAGGTACAAACAACTGAAGAAGAAAATAAGAAAGAAGAAGAAAATATGTCAAAAGAGATTAAGTCAGTAGAACCTATGGAAGAAGAAATTCAAGATCTAGACATTGCACAAAGACTTGATTCTAGAATGTTTTCTATTGATATAGAAATAGGAAAAGATAAACAAATTCATGTTGACAAAGAGTTTAAGAAGTGGTTAGAACAACAAAATATTAGTATGTATGGAGAGGGGTGGGCAGCCAAATTTAAGGAAGAAAATGATGAAGTAGATGTAAAAGGTATTGAAAATGAAGAAGAGGAAGAAGAAGATTCAGAAACTATTGATACTAATAAAGAAGATATTATTGGTGAAGAAGAGGATTTTGAAGAAACCTGGAAAAGGGCTGAAGAACGAAAAGGTAGAAGAGAAAATCCATATACATCAGTTATTGGTAAGTTACAACAAAAGCTTTTTGTTCAAAAAAAGTCAACAAGGGGATATGGTTATGATTTGGCAGACAATTTTATTGATGATGGATATGATTATTCATTGCCTCGATGTACTGTTCGTCCTGAAATTCGTATTGAAAATGCTGAAAAAGTTCAACGGTTAACAGCCAAGAGGCAAGCACTTAAATTAAAGAAGGTTGAAGAAAAAGAAGAAAAAACCAATGAAGAACAAGAAAAAGAAACACCAAACAATGAAAATAGAAGCGAAGACAAAGAAGAAATAACTGACTCTCAAGATAAAAAAAGAAAAGGAAAAAAACCACTACATAAAGAAGAAAAGGAGTAAACCAAACCAAATTATATAATTGAAAATTGTTTCATTTCTTTTTTGAATATAATTAACCATTAATCAAAATAATCATTAATAAATTTATATTACAATAAATATTTGATTTAACTCTTATTACAATAATAAGTTAATCAAATTCTTTTTAAACTTCTTTAAATTAACCCCATAGATAACAAACATATTTTAGTTATTAATTATTACTTATTAATGTTATACTTAACTTAGAATAATAAGCATTGTTTTTATTTTATTAACACTATAAAGGGATGTCATTTCTATGTTTAAACAAAAGACACTCTTTATGTGTTAAATAATTATTTCACAAAATACTATTGATGATAGTCATTTTCATAATCCTTGAAAATAAGTATTTCCATTAATTGTTAATAACCTTTATTTATTCCTGACAAAAGACAATGAAACAAATAACATATTAATTTATTAAGAACTTTTTGTTAGAATAATAATACAATTAAAATAAAAATTACTTAAAGAAAAAGGAATGAATTATTTTGTGTTAGTTCATTTCAACAGAAGTGAGTCATACAAAAATCAGCATTAACATAATCCAATGCTTCCAAATAATCAGTAACAACTTCAATAAGGGTGATTGATTTAATTTGAGTTGGAATAATTTTAAATAATAAATGAGAGTGAGGAGCAAGAATGAATAACATTCTGACTTCTTTTTCTTCTGATTTAATAATACCACCCTTCATATAACAATTATCAACCTTATTCTTTATTTCATCATAGGAAATGTCAAGAGGAATATTTGATTTATAAGCTAATTTATTCCATAACATTTCATACAATCCATTTGCAGTGTTTTGTGTTTTCATAATTTCTAATTGTGGGGAAACACAAATAAAATCATTAAAGTTTAATTTAAGTCCTTCAGTGACAATATTTAATCTACATAACTCTGCGTGTGAGTCAGTAACAATGACATATGGATCTACACTCATTGAACATGGGTGTGGAGCATTTAATGGTAATTCAAGCATTACTTTGTTAGTATCATCACTACCATTTCTTTGCAATAATGGATGAATATATTTAATAGTATTTGTTTTAATAGTTTTATAATTATTTTGAATAGTAAATGTAAAAGGCACAACATAAAATTCATCATCAACAGATTGTGATGATTGGACAGTAAGTTGCATTGGAATAATTAAATTACTTTCAGTTTTATTTAACATTTCAATATAATTATCTGAGTCAGTAGAAAGATTTCCAGTAATATTAAT